CGGATATACACATCACTAAGTATGTCGACAATCTGTATCCTTTTAAGTATCGTTACAGGCCTTTTCTGGATATCAAGGAGACGCAAACAAATTTCTCTTTACATTGGAACATCCAAGGAGTCTAAACAATTAGTACTGCTCGAAACCAGAAGCATCTCAGCGAATCGGGACGATTCGTCTTCAAAAGGGGGAGTAGTTAAGAACGAACCCTCTTGGACCACAACCAACCGCTTCATCGGTGCATCTCTATTATCATCATCACCGTCATCCATACCATTAGCAACAACAGCAACCAATCACTTCATTGGTACATCTCTATTATCGTCATCATCGTCATCATCCATACCAACAACAACAACAACAACAACGCCGATGACGACGACTAAGACTCAGCAATCGGCATAGCAGTAAGCACGATCACTAACCCGCACCCAAGTCCAAGCATCAGCAATTCTTCCCCAGCAACACAAAGGTAGCTCAGTAACGAGCAAGGCATATTCCTACATCAGCAAATGGTCATCCGGCAGCCAACGATGTCACCAACCCTTGGAACTGCCAACGATCGAAGACACCTCGGCAGTTTCACCACCAACTAACGATGTCACCAACCCTTGGACCCGCCAACGACGGAAAACACCTCAGCAGTTTTGTCGCCTTTGCAACAGCAACACGGCGACCACGTTCCCTCTTTAAATTTATCTTACTCAGCTGATTGATAGGGCTTCGGTAGGTTTGGTTATAATATAATTCAATAAATCAGTTCAGTTGGTTTTAGACCTCAGTAGAGTTAACTAGTGTTTTTTTTTAAACTTAAGTCTGGTTGACACATCCAAAAGTTATCTACCACATCATTATACATCGTTGGAAAGGTAATTTAATAAGCTTTCCGAAAATAAAATCCATTTGGAAATTTGATGGAGACAAACAAAAAATTAAAAATAAAAATAGAAAAAAAAATTGAAAATTAATGAAAATTTAACTTTCTTGATCACAAACTTTCGAGTCTCGCACATTCCCAGGCTAATTCTCAGCTCTGGATGAAGTTTTGAGTGTACTCTAACAAGTACTGAAGAGTTTGCCTGCCCCAACCTGCCCCATTGGAAATAGGGGAATTTACGTATTCTCGGCAACCTAAGCAGCGACCTTCTTATGTGTGCCTTTTTCTCTAAGGAACGCACACATATGCAGTATTGGTTTGTTTACAATCTTTTGCTGCTAGCTACTCTTACAGTTTCAGTCGAAAGAATTGTCAAAAACTGTTTTGAAACGCTTTTACAAAGCTCCAATCTTCTCTAGTGAGAGCGAGTATTGTCGGCAACCAGTTTTTCTTCGGCAACCGTTCAATTTGAACTGCATGTAAATCTGCTGTTCTATTATCGGCAACTCGAAATCAGCTACAATTTGTAGTGCGTGTGTTGCATTTCAAGAAAACCTTGCTAGATTGCTTTTTCTCAGTGGTAAAAATATAGTCAAATTGAAGCTGAAAGCATAAAGAATCGTTTGCATGCATTCAGCTAAGTGTTTTCGTAAGAAAATCCAGTGAAAATAGTGTTTCAATTTGGGTTGCCGAAAATAGTCTGTCATGCCGAAGCCGTCATTTCCCCTATAAGCGATTTGAAAATTTTTGGTTCTTATGTTGAATTCATTAAAGAGAGTGAAGAAATTATTCTGGCTACAATCCATGATTTCAGAGTTAACAAGTAAATTATGCGTTTGGTACGATACTTTAGTTAATAAGCTACCGAACGAAGTCAATGAGAACGTGTGGTATGAAGGTTTGCACCCATTATTCCCAAAAACAAAAGAAGCGCTCCGACCGAATCAATTTTTATCTTCATCCGATAGGCCGAAGTGAATTCATTGGCGTTTCAATGGTGTTTCAAATGTGTTAGGCCAAGTTTAGAATCCGTAGGCCGAGTTTGTCGTCAAGAAGCAGTGTTAGACTTTTGACAATATCTCAACGATTGATTTATTTTTATCAAATCTTACGGTACGTACGGAAAGGTAAATAAATTTGCAAGCCATCAGTGATAATAACATTCCGTTTGGTGCTAAACTGCGCTAGATTAAGAAATACTATGTGCGAGTTGTGCTTAATAGGCCGGAAATGGGGTAATTAACCCTATTGCATACAGAATGGATAACAAAAAATGGAAGGTAACGAAACCGTTCAAAGAACTATATGAACAAAGAAAAAAACATGTGACGACACAGCTTTACGAAAAATTTGGAGTAAGAGTAGATCAACCACGATCGGCTGGAGCAGGTACCAGTACAACAGGAAACGTTTGTCGAAGAGCATTTGGAAATCCCAAGCTTTTAAGCTCCGTGCTGAACATTGATGAAGAGTTAATTTTCAGATTCCGGAATATATTAATTGCTATTAACTGCCAAGAGCCAATAAACCCGGAAAAATTTGATGCATATTGCAAGGAAACATATAGGCTCTATCTTAAATTGTATGATTGGTACAAAATTCCTGCAACCGTGTATAAAGTTTTCGCTCATGCCGGAGAAATAATCATACATTCACCAGCACCACTTGGTTCATTAGCGGAAGAGGCAGCAGAAAGTAAACATAAACAATTGAAAAAATATCGAACCCATCATGCAAGAAAACGATCAAGAGTAGAAAATTTACATGATGTCTTTATTCGTGCCATTAATGAATCGGACCCACTGATCAGTTCCATTTGGATGGCAAAAAGACGACAGAAAAAAGTATCCCTGGATTATCCCGACATCGTGAAAAGTTTCATGATATTTGAAAATTCTGTAAGTGATTCAGTAGTCGATACTAATAACTTCAATGCCTTGGAGGAACTTATGAAAGCAGTCGATGAAATTGAAGAAGAATTTGTTCATGATGATATTGTAACAGAGGAATAAAAAGAAATTCGTTGAAACATATTTGATTTTGATTATTGTATCATGGCTTTTTGTATTTTTTTTACAGAAGATTTGTTGAAAAAAAAAACATATTTCCAAAAAAAAAGTTTTTTTTTTATTTTTTACGATGTTCCCCCCAATAAAACCATGGTAGGTTGTCTTTGTTCAATAGATTTTATTCTCTGAAAACAAGCTTGAAACTGTAACCGTTATAAAATCGTAAAAATTAAATTTTAATTAATCAAAAGTTAGGCCCTTTTCAAAAGTTGGTCGTGAAAATGTTGAAAAGTGATAACGCACACCTTATATTGATGAAACAAAGCAAGAATAATAGCAGAAATTGTAAAAAATGATAGAAATATTTTTGACCGCCTGGTTGTATGAAAATGCCCCATAGTGGAGTGGTCCTATGAAATCCATCTCTTGCCAAAACCTTTTTTACTTGAAGTTTATCATGAAAGTCATCTTCTAGAAACTTTTAGAACTCTTTAAGACGAATGTTTTATAGCTGGATTTGTTGCCTGTATATCTTCTAATAAAAAAGATATACCCAAATATAGTATTTAGTATAGTGTTTATTTGAATACACCTTTGCTGAGAAATTCAAAATAAGAAAACTAGAGCAAAAAAACTGTTTTTTTTTAAGAGCCACCCTAACTCAATTCAAGAAAATAACTCTGAATCGGCCAATTTAAGAGATACAAAAAAGTTATTTTCAACAAAGTTGCTTGAAATTAGCTAAGCTATAACTTTGCCGAAAAATGTATACCTTAATTTATTCAAACAAAAAAGTTAGATTTTTGATTTTAATGATAATAGGAACCACCCTAGAACTCATTGTCATAAAAATTAGGACCTAACTATAAGGAACAACTTTGTAGAAGAGACTTTTAGTCTTAAGTTTCAATTTCAGGCTCAAAACATATCATTCCACCTAAATCTGCATTCTGGACCACTGTGCAATGGTCTAAAACCGAAAAAAAAACGTGATCGTTTGAGATTTGAGAGGTAAAACTTCGTTTTGAGTTTATTGGGTCTTGGGGAAAGTTTCTTGAAATTGAAAAATCTAACCTTTGACACTATTCGTTTAACTAGGTGAACACTACACGGGCAACTACAACAACTCAGCGACTGAATTCAATTGACTCAGAACATTTTCTTTCCATACGAAATTTACTCATATTTGAAAAAAACAACTGCAGTTACTCATTAGCTATGAGTAACTGCAGTTTTTTTTCATGCTGAGTCAATTGAATTCAGTCGCTGAGTTGTTGTAGTTTGTAGTTGTACATGTTTTCCAAACGTCACTATAATGCATTGGTGTCTTCAGCAAAGTTATATAACATAGATATTATTACAAGAAAATTTACTGTAGACTTAAGCTTTCTATATGCTCGTTTAAGTTAGCTAGATCGTATTTAACATACATGACCCTGTGACAATCAGTGTTTCTATTAAAACATTTTTGTGTGGCTATTATACAAATTTTGCATGTCCTATAAGCTGTGCAGAAAGCAAAAATACACAACTTCGTAGAACACAGTATGTCTTTATCTTCACCTAAAGAAAATACTATATACGGTGATGATTTTCTGGGTACTGTTTGTCTGGATTTGACCAGAGACGATAGATAGAGACGCTGGCGTTAACGCTGAACCAAACGAACAAAGTAAATAAATATAACTGTTTCTACATTCTTAGTATTCTTGCCGAGATTGGCACCGCCGACCAGGTCGGCATTTATTTTTACTGAGATCTCATCAAAATTTCTGTTTGTCAGCTAAGATCTCATCAAAATTCTCGTTTGTTAGCTGAGATCTCGGCAAATTTTTCACTGAGATCCAGCAAAATAAAATGCCGAGTGCCAATCTCGGAAGAAAAACTAAATGTGTAGAGAATTTGTGCATCTTGTTATTCTTAAACGTATAGCAAGTATTTTAGGTGAATTTATTTTAGGCCACATGTAATTTGTTATTCAACCGTGCTGCTTGTTTGGCCATTTTTTTGCGCATATATATCCATCGTATCTGGTTTTGATATAGTTAATGCATGCTCCATTAATAGGGTATATCGTGAAATGCCGTTTAAATATATTACTAAGGAAGCTTTACCTTTTTCGTCTGTTACTGTAATATGATGACAGTCTGATACATTTCGAGGGTTATACGGTAAGCTCCAGGATCTAGTTTGTTCAGTTGTAATTGCTCGTAGCTTTTCATAAGGAATGGTATGACATTCGGCAAGCTCTTCAAGATAAACAACGCATGGTCCGTTGTTATGCTTCATCTCCTGGATGTAACCATGCAGTAGTTGGCTCTCATCATCTTTAAACTTTACCAAACACCGGGCGCCAACCTAAATAAAAAAAAATATTGATAATTAAATGGTTAATAATATTAAAGGATTCCATAACATCTCCCGGAAAACATTTGAGGGTGTTTTAAGGAAAGTGGTGCAAATGACAAACATGAAAAAGTGAGAAAATTGCCGTTTTTGATGCTTTGAGTAACATTTTATAAACGTTATTCACATTAGGGCTGACCATAAATTACGCAGACATCCGTTTCTGTTTGTCGCTTTTTTTTCGAGAGTTTAGCAACTGCAGTCTTAATAGGCTATTATCTCGGCTGTGCTCTTCATACAGTGTGTGTGTGTGTTTTTTTTGGCAGGGGGGAAACCTTCAAAAAGGCCATCGTGCCACCGCTTGATGGGATGTGTGGGATTCTTACCGCATTAAAACCTCTTTGGACGCCTTGCTCTTTTCCCCCGGAACCACTTGTCGTATTACTTCGGAGGGGGCCGTGCATTACGCACCTCACTTTACCTCAGCTAATTGGCGCTTCCAGTTCGCTGATCGTCTCTCCAATTTGTGAGCCATTTAGCTCCCAGCGTCACGTTCTACTCGGTTTTCCCCGGTGGTGGATTCAGCCTACTCTGACGGAGAGTTCTTCCGCCTTCGGCTTTCAGTTCGCACTTGTGTGAGCACATTACTACTTTCTAGTTGATCTTCTCGCCATTTTCGCTGCAGCGCTGACATGATCTGCGTTACTGCTCTGCTGACGGCGTTAAAGGTGCCCTACTCTCGACACATTTCTTCGACGACATTCTCCGTGCTAAGGGCGAGCATATCCTCTCGCACATCATCAAATCTAGGACATTCGAAGACCATGTGCTCTGGTGATTCTTCCACATTCCCACACTCCGGACAGAAGGGTGACGTTGTGTGTCCGAACCGATGCAGGTACTTCCTGAAGCAGCCATGACCAGACAGGAACTGCGTCAAGTGGAAGTTGACTTCTCCATGCTTCCTGTTCACCCAGGTCGAAAGAGTTGGTATTAGCCTGTGTGTCCATCTACCGTTCTCTGCTGCATCTCCTGCTACCACTTAGCCATCGACTCCGTTCTCACCATTTTTTGTACTCCTCTGGTTTTTCTCGTCATATAGCACTCGTGGTCCTCCGTCACGGTGATGCCGATTGGGATCATACCGGCGATAACGCATACTGCCTCCATCGAAATGGTTCTGTACGCACTCACGACTCGCATGGCCATGAGCCGGAACGTACTGCTCAATTTCCTTTGATTCTGCTTCGTTTTCAGCGCTTCAATCCAGGCTGGACCTCCATACCTTAGTATCGAAGAGGACACACTAGCCAGAAGACGGCTCTTGCTGCTGCTTGGACCAGAATTGTTCGGCATGATTCTGGCTTGCGTTGATGACCTTCGCCGCCTTCTCGCAAGCATATTCGATGTCGCTATTAAAGTTTAGCCGGTCGTCGATCATCACTCCCAGATACTTTAGCACGCGCTTCGTGTGTGTGTGTGTGTGTGTGTGTGTGTGTGTGTGTGTGTGTGTGTTCTCTCTAACCCCCACTGGCCGGCAGTGTTATTATGGAAGAACCCTCTCTACAATGTCGCATTTATGGTCATTGCAGACAGCTTTAGCCCGGGAGTTAGAAAGTTATAGCTCTATTGCAGATTCAGCAACCCATTGCAGAATGTCTGGAGAGTCACGACTATTCCGAGGTTACTTTCACTCACAATAAACCCCGCATTTATGCATCAAATGGATATTGGTCCAGGTTCGAAAATATACTTTTCAAACCTGGCACGTATTTAATTTATGTTTTTAAATTGTAAAATATATTTGGACTGGTCTCACCATGTTAATTTGATCATCCAATCCATGGGTTCCGTAATTTTGATTTTCTCTGAGCTAACTTCCTTTAACGAACACAAATTTTCTTGCATTGTCATGGTCATCTGGGAGGAGGTTCGCGTGTAGTGCTTTCCCCAGAAACAGTTCGCGGCCACCAACTGCCACCCGTCCAGTCTTGGGTGTATCCAGCGAGGCATCTTTCATATTGCTCGCAATCGCCGCCACCGGCGAGAGACCAGCAGAAAACTCGCGAGGGACACCTTATCAACACGTTCCCGGGCTAATTAATCAACCAGACCGATCTCTCAATAGAACTACGGGGGAGGTAGCTCATCGATTCTTCCGGTTCGCCTCCTAGCATCGTGCTATAAGGTACCAGGCGATAACCAGGGTAGTTGATCGATAGCTCGATGACGTCATTTCGTTGGCGTCTGCTATGGGAAATTCTCATAGCAGGCGTTGACGATGGGACGTTGTCGAGTTGTTGAATAGCAACTATCGTGGTAACTCACCGATTACCTGTCGATCTGCCAAATTTGGAAAGACGTCTGCATTGAATTGTCTCATATAATAATATTCCGCCCACTATATCACAAGAAATTGCGAGTAGATGAGTGGAATGGAGATAAGTTAAGCATTGGGTACAGGACCAAGTCTCCCCTGGGTGGTGCCAGAAGATGAGCGCAATAGAATCATCAAGTTGCCATAAGGCACGGAATGAGACTATTGCATGGCTGGGTAGTCAAAGTCTTCCATTCGTTAGTCATTTCAGGTGGATTAGAACAGGTTTAGGTTTAGGGTGGGCGTTGGCCAGATTTGGATTTTTCAGATATACACCCCTATTCTGTATTTCGTTTCGAACGAGATTCTCATGCAAAAAAATATTTTTTTGTGTGAGAGTTTCGTTCGAGGCGAGATACAGAATAGGGGTGATAATCCTAAATAGGACCTAGATTATTTAATACACTAGTAACCTCAACTTCTGTCACAATGTTTCATTGTGACTAATCAACACTCAATGGGTAAAATATCAAATTTGCGGTAAATTTGAAAAAAGGGAACTTGGAGTGTAGAGTGCACTGCCCACTGGACGATTCTGAAGCCTGACCAAGTGAGTGGGTTACGGGTTTATTTGATTGTACGTCATTTCCAAGTTACATAGATACATTCATACCATTGGCATTTTGTATTTGAGATAAGACAGAGACAGGATGCGGAGGGCCCGCTTAGGGGGAGCGTAACCCATTTTATGGCTTCCATTTATTAAATAGTTCAGATAGGCTGGAAATGATAGGTTCATGGTGAGAAAATGTACCATATGGTGCCCGTTCACTGATCAAAATTAGATTCAAATCGTCAGGCCCTGCCCTGGAATAAGGGAATTGACGATGATTTGTCCAGTTTCATTTTGCATTTGCATATAATTGTAAGTTTAGGTTTACTTTTGTAATTGTAAGATAGATAGTTTGCCTCAATTGAAACATTGAGTTAAACATGACGAATCATATCTCTAAAATAGTAGTAGTTACAGTGCCGCATTATCTAACTTTTGTTTTGTTTGTTTACATATAACTAATACTAATACCTCCTTGTTTTCTCTCTAATTTGTCTACTATGTCCCACCATCACGATGAGAGATGAGCTACCGTACATGGTACACGCTCATATACACTCCCAAAATAGTATGCCGCAAGTAAGTATATCACAGAGGCAACTAAAGATCCAGGAACAAAAACCGAAAACGCTGAACGGCAGATTGGTTTACAGTGGTCGACCAGGGTGTGTGCTGATAAATTACAAAATTACAATTACATCATTATTTCATACATCAGCTTGAATTGCGTTGATCGATATTACATTTTTTTTTTTTTTTTTGCTGTGCGCTACATCACCGGAGCCAGCAAAGTTCAACAATCCATCGTTGCTTATGCCTTTGTTGTCGTTTGGAACCAGTTTTGCGAGGTAGGTGACGATTGAGCGTATTTCTCACGTAAATTTTTTAAAAGGGCCTAGCCTGAACAATACGTAAAGAGCAAATTGAAACATTGTACGTCGCGTGAAAGTGGAACTTAATGAAGGCCTAAGTACTTTTTCGTAGTTTTTAGTTTTCGGATTTGAAAGATCGTCGGTTACAGTGGCCTGCTTACTGAGCATTGTTTATTTTGCGAAACTCGTTGTTGTCGTTGGTTCCGGGTTTGAATGGATACACAAATTTGAGCAACGGTATTATGTGATATGAGGGGCTCGGTGGCCTTAGAGCAACCGTTTTTGCTTACTGAGCAGAACATCATGAGTCTATTCTCAGGCCCATCCACAATCAAGATTCGTCAATCGTTTTATTTGTTAATATGACTACATGGTAATAACAGCAACTCGGTGATTAAAAAGGTGCTCGTCTGCCTAGTGGCAAACGTTTTTGCTTACTGAGCAGAAGACCGTGGGTTTAGTCCCAAGCTCCTTCGCGTTATATGATCGTTAGGACATCAATTCAGCTTATCGTTTACCAAAACGAACCCTGCTGCAAACCCAACCCTCTTATCCAACATCCCAGTGATTCCTCGTGGAAGTGCAGAGGTGTTCTCGGCTTCCATCAAAGCGAGTGTCATGTCAACACAATCCTTCCCATTCCTTTCTTGACCTGTGTTCGGGCGCGGCCGGCGCTGGTATTGCCTAATTTAAGATCACCAGTTTTTACACATTGAGGATGATTGCTAGTCCCAAGCATCGTCTATTGGTTCTCTGTGTAATTACAGCTGATCTGGCAATAACAGAGTAGCAACCGTGGGCGGTCAATCAAGCTCAAGCTCAAGCTCAAGACCGATCTCTCAATAGAACTACAAGCCGAAAGTGTAGCATCCGGACTCGGAGAACCGGGCTCCCGGGAGGCAATAAAAATCGACACCGAACAATGGAACTAAATCTGCGTTGTATATTTTGGAGGTTAGATTCAAGTTCAACCGAGCCACTCAAGGCAAACAAGATATATTTCAGCATACAAATTAACAAATTCAAAGCCAAAATGTGTTTAATTCGCTTGTGAAAAATACATCCGGCTGTGCTCTTCATACAGTGTGTGTGTGTGTGTGTGTGTGTGTGTGTGTGTGTGTGTGTGTGTGTGTGTGTGTGTGTGTGTGTGTGTGTGTGTGTGTGTGTGTGTGTGTGTGTGCATTCCCTCTAACCTCCACTGGCCGGCAGT